CTTCCTGCCCAGTGCCATTAGTACAGTGTCAGTGCATTTTTTTTTTTTTTTAGCACTCATCACTGTATTGGTGTCGCTGGGGATGTCAGTGACACCAAGTCAGTTCCCCCCAGTGTCAGAATGCCCGCCACAGTCCCGCTATAAGTCGCTGATCGCTGCCATTATTAGTAAAAAAAATAATGTTGCACATTTGAGAACATTAATATCTCAATGGGCTAGCTGGATCATCCTGTAGACATCTATACCCTGGTAAGGACTTCCCTCTGGGTCATCAGTAGAAATACAGCTCCTCACACCTCTTCTCAAGATAGGCTCTGTGGGTGGTAAGGCTCAACAAGTGCCCCAAGAAAGGATGCCAGAATAGTGTGATATTGCTTCAGGGTATTTATTAATCCAAAACACAGGAATGAAACAGAGTAAAATCACAGAAAAAAACTGACCATGTACTGGAATTAAAGATGGCCGCCAGACCAGCAAGGGCCTCGGCAGTGTGACGTCAGGATGCTGTGGCTCCTCTCTGATGCGTTTTGTGCTCTAGCACATAGTCATAGGGGGTATGCCTCAGGGTGGATTTGATTTAAATCAAACTGATTTAAATCACAATTTAAATCACGATTTAAATCACTAGTCAGTAAGGCTTGATTTAAATCCTAGTTTTCTACATAAAGACTAATTCTTGCTGGTATAACTTTAATATGCAAGTAGATGAAGATTTTTAGAATAACAACTTTTCATATTAGTTTTTTTTTATCCCCAGTTTAATAGGTTAATCATTCATATTTGGACAACTTTTCTGTTGTACTTAGGAAGGAGAAAAATAATCATTACCTTAATAACAATTTAAATAGATTTATTCAACTGAAACAATAACATTCCAGCATATGTTATTTGCTTAAACAAACATCCATGTTTGTTAACTAATTTAGCTAAACAAAATATATATATATTTTAAGAAACTTAGACTGTCAGCCCCTTCCTCCTCACACTTAGTTTGACTTTCTTCTTGTGCAGATCTATTCCACTCCAAACAATCAGAAAAAAATATTGTTTCTATTCTATTCACTGAACTTCTTGAAATTTAGCACTGAAGGGGTTGATTCTGTATTCATAGGTTTGTAGAAGTTAGGATTAAGGTCTTTTTCTTAACTCTGTTCATGTTCTAACATTTTTGCTGTGAAGAAGAGGCATGTGATCTCCGCTGAGTCAAACTCAGTTTTGAGAACTGCAAAAGTAAACCAAGCATCTGTGATAATATCTTGTAGGCAGAGAAACTGCCCAATAATCTTACAAAAACCTCTGGAAGAGCATGACATTGTGAATGGATTAATGGAATTTATTTACCCAAAAAATTAAACATATACAGCCTTATTCTACATAATTAAAAAACTAATCTTTATTTCATGATGGAATAACCTTTGGATGGTAATATATTTTCCTCAAAAAGCATTTTATTAAAAAAAATCTGACTTAAATAAAAAAATCCGATTTAAATAAAAAAAAATCCGATTTTTTTTTTTTTTTTTTTTTTTTTTTTTTTTTTTTTTTAAATCATTGATTTTTATCCACCCTGGTATGCCTGCATGCGTCCAACGTCTGACGTGTCCTTTATATAGCAGTAAATGGTGTCGTGTGCATCGCATCCTCCATTTTGCTGGCTATTTGGCGCATGCGCGGTATGACCGCCGCCATGCTAATGGTTACTTTGCATGTGCGCCGTGCACTGGCGCCATTTTGTTGTGGATTTCGCGCTCCGTGTATGAAAATGCAGGATGCGTACGCACCCCGGGGCCATTTTCCTGATGCCTTACCATGCATTTAACACTGCGATCACCAGGGAAAGGAAGACAAACAACAAAAATGTTTTTACTACCCGTTAATAGCGGCAATGTACTGATTGCAAGTATTGCTAACTATCAAAACATCAGTATACATGATACTGAGTTTATCTCAACCCACAATGTTGATGAACCTGCGCATGCGCAGTATCCCAGGTCTGATATGTATATTAACTAAATCTTTGTATTCAGGTTACCAAGGATATTATTATTGCTTATTATTAGAAGTATACCCATGGAGCCATTAGTGCTCCAATGTGCATAATGGTGTTCAGTGTTAAATAGGTATCACACAACATGCTAAGATAAATAATGATTTATGTACAAATAAATGAACAATGAAAGATATAAATATATAAACACATGGTCTGTAAAAACTAGCAAGATAAAAATTACAAGATAACATAAAATATAAATAAAATAGATAAAAATGAATATATATAATTATAAAACAGATTTGTGCCATTATCACCACCCAAAATCTGTATGGCACAGTTTCATGTAGATAAATGAAGACCTGCTTATACATTCACAAAAGAAAAAGAGCAAAAACCCAACAGAAAAAGCAGTATATGAATTATGTTATAAAATAGAATAGAATAGCCAGAAATCAGACTAAGATAGCGTATTCTAAAATGTTTATAAGAACTATTTAAAATTGTGAGTTTGACATTAATTGTTTTATAGATAATAGCTAATATGCATTCCATATTTTACCATCATGACTTCACCCTCCTTTATGTTAGTGTCTTACGCTCTTTTATTGTCATCGCAATTTTAAATAGTTCTAATAAACATTCTAGAATGCGCTATGCTATCTTAGTCTGATTTTATAGCTATTCTATTCTGGTGAGTGCGTAATTTTATTATCACCAGAAGATTTCTAGAGGATCAGCCTCATCTGAGACTTCATGTCTATTGATTAAACAAGGACTTTGTCATTTTAATAGCACCTTGGATCACCTTAATAGATGATTATTCACATTATGTCACTTTACACAATTTTATTTATATTTATTAGTTTATCACTAACAGTGGCACTATTTTCACTATATGATTATTGACAGTCATATCATTGATTCATGACATTGCATTTTATTTTAATTTATTGCATTTTATTGTGCTCAGATATTTACGTTATTTAGCGCTGCACCCTATTTTGTCTTTGGTCTCAGAAGGTTCTTTGATGCCTTTTCGATGATACAGCAGCTTGCCAATTAGCACTCACTTTTGTGCATTTTGTTACCATATAATTAATTTACAGGTATTGGAATTTTTTTCCCATGAATTGCGCTTTCTTTTGGTGGTATTTGATCGCCTGTACGTTTTTTATTTTTTGCGCTATACACATAAAAAGACCGAACGTTTTGAACAAAAAACAATATTTTCTCATTTCTGTCATAAAATATATCCAATAAACTCAAATTTCGGCATAAATTTAGGTCAAAATGTATTTTGCTACGTCTTTGGTAAAAAAATACCAATAACTGCATATTGATTGGTTTGTGTGAAAGTTATAGCATCTAAAATCTATGGTATAGATACTGGAATTTAAAATGGGAAAGTACACAGATTTTTGTCATACAGGTATGCAGGATAGGTAGATGGATGTGGGAGGGAACATTTTTTTAAGAATAGTTATTGTTAGGCTTTTCTTACACTTAAGATGGTTGCAAACCTAAGTTGTTTTGTTTTGTTTTTTTTTTGGGGGGGGGGGGGGTTATATAAAGTAAAACAATAAACATGTCATACTTACCTGCTCTGCACAATGGTATTGCACAGAGCAACCCCAATCTTTCTCTTCTGGGGTCCCCCACTGGTAGTCTGGGCTCCTCCTCTTCAGTGTTCCACCATAGGAATCTGCTTGCAGATGGATCAAGTAAGGTAGGTATTTAGGGGTTGAAACAAACTGTTAATTTGTTAGCCCTACAGAACGGACAAGCACAGTCTACATGTGTTTTTCTGCTTCACTGCAACAATGAAATAGGTAACTTTATTCAGAGAAAAAAACTATAGAGTTTACTATATTTGCAGCTTCAAACTTATAAACACTGCCATCTACTGGTTAAAGAATATATCTCTACTGAATAATGATGTAGTTGTTGCACGAAATACATGAATACTGTATTCCAGCAGCACAAATATTGCAACATTTTTACCCTAGTGCAGGGAATTCATTAAGGTAAAAAATTTTTTCCCTTTAGAACCACTTTATTATGTAGGATAAAACAGTAAGAAATGTACCAAACAGGCCATTGTAGAGAGTATAGTAGTCAGGATTATGTAATGTGCACTGTTTTCTGTGTTGTAAGTTTCATACTGGCCATTATACTTCCGTGCCGGCAGAACACAATGATCAGTGTTGCCAGCTAAAGGGTTTAGTTTTTGGTAGAGTGTAGAGGTATTAGAACAGGTTTTATTATTAGGTTTTTATTGTTGTCTCTGCCACTGTTAGGGAGATTCACCTTCTCCATTTGTCCTGTTTACCATTATCATTGAAAGTAAATGAAAATCACAAATTTTGGGTTGACACCAGAACAGTAATAGAGGGGAAATCTTCCTATGGGGACACTAGTTATGGTGACACTCCCAGATTCTTTGACTTTGGAGGGATTTCCTTTCACTTCTTATTTTGGCTAACGCACAGGAACATGTAAATCTCCTCATTAGGGCAGAGATGGCAAACAAAACTGAGAGGGGTTGTAACCCTCCCTTATTCTATCCAAAAGGAAAAAAAAAAGTTTGCCTTTAGTTGTACTTTAAACTCTGACTGGAGTTTACATTTAAAGTGCAATGATCTTTCACTTTACAAACACAAAGCATCCATCTGACCTTTTTCAAACCATTCAAATAGGTGTTCTGCATAGATACAGTTTATGGGTGATCATTATTCTCCAAATATATTTCAAGGTTATGAATACATTTTGTGCAATGCAGTGTAGCATGGCAGTATCTAACCTTTAGACTGTGAGATATAATTCTTAGCTCAGCATAATCTGTTGAGGAACCAGTACAATAAGGAAGAAACTTTGTTCTTGTAGTATAGATGATAGGACATGCTGATCTCAGCAAGTGCTATGATATGAGTCACACAACTTTTCTTCTCTTACTCCTCTCTCAGCAGCGTATACCCTCTGCAACTGTTCAGGCTGAACACCATCATTAATGATGACACTCAATCGGCATCTGCTGCTTATTTCTAACTCGACGCTTCATGGCGGGGGATATCTGGAACACTGCCAAGAGCATATACAAAAGTTTTTAGGGGGTGTAAGTGAATGCATTAATGGCTTGTGATTGTTACTGCTGGCTTGGGTTCTGTCATTTTTGTCTTTCATAACCAGTCTAGTCACTCATTCTTAAATTGTTTTGTAAGGAAACATCAACACAATTATTGCTACTGAGTATGGGAATGATTTGAAAATCAGGCGTTTGATACCGAAAAGTTATATATACAATGCTTTGTTGTGATCTCACATTTCAAGCCAAGCAGTTCTTAATGTGCACAACTTCTGATGTTTTTATTTTTCTTTTCTTTTTAGACAAGTGAAACGTGTCCTGTTTGTGCCTTATGCGCTTCATGACAGAGATGACTATGCCAGGACCGCCAGGCAGAAATTTGAGAGCCTAGGTAAGTGTCAATGACAGGGTTTTATCCACTCTTGTTTGGCTTGAAAACTGTAAAAATCACAAGTTTTACATTCTCTCTGACAGCTGAGAAAAACAGGAAATGTGTTCCCAACAGTTACTTTAGCAAGCGAAAGATCTATGATGAGTACATGTTCTTTTGCTTGCTAATAAAAATAAAATACAAAGCACAACAATGAAGATATCTATTCAATGTTAGCTCATTGTTCTAAAATAATCCTGTTTATGTTTTGATTACATTCATTGGTAATGTTTTTGTTTTGATTGTTTATGCAATTGTTTTGATTTGTTTGTAATTGTTTATTTTGATTACATTCATGTGATATTTCTGTACAAGAGGCATCTTCCAAATCCTTTTATTTTTGCCAGACATTGGGTTCACTTTGAAAAATGTATGTCCACCTTGCTTAGTAAATGGTCACTTAGTTAATAAAAAGGGGAAGTTGTGTTCACTCCTGAATACCTAATCATATCGAAGAGACAATAAAAGGGCAGTATTGCCAAAGCTTTTTTGGCTATACTTCTCTTTTGGGTCACAGGAGTGCACTTACTTTTGTTCTCCTGTGACCCAGAGTCAGCTGATAGTGAGCTATTGCCTGCTGTCAGCTGATAGACCGGAGCCACTCCAGGCTCTGGCAGGATCCTGACAATATTGTCAGGATCCATCCAGCTGCCTGATTGACAGCTAACTTTGCCTCTCAGCGAACTGTTTTCTATGGTCTTGCTTCCTCCTCTCCCCATTTTGGCTACTACTGTGTTTCCACCCACCCGTCTGCAGTGCATAATGCCAGGGTGGTACTAGTTCCCTGCATTTTGAAATTTTTGTTTCTGATGTGCCTGGTGCCGAAAGTCTGAAGTAGGCCATACGTGTGTTTGGGGAACATCATTTATTGGCCATTAAACTGAGCATAGATTTAAAGTCTTACTTGATCTTTTCCTGGCTGCCCAAGAACTTCTAATTATTGCCTTCTTTGGTAACAGTCCATTTCTGACAGTTCTAGAAACCTCCCACCAGAACTGCAGAGAATAGTGGACTGTCCCCTGTTGGCATGCTTACCCATTGCTCTTGAAACTCTACTTGTTTGCAGATGTAAGATGATATTTGTCACATCCTGGATTTACTAAAGCCACCACAGTATTTTACAGATTAATACTCTGTCTATAAATTTTTTTAAAAAAATGTAGAGAAAGCAAAATTGCCTGCTAGCACATTAATACTCCACTTAAAGGGTAAAAAAATTAGCTAATAAAAAAAATTATAATATAGTGTATACAATTGCCACTCAAGTCATATTGTAATTGAATGTTATTAAAAATTACCTTTCCTTTTCAAACTGCAGTGCTGTAATTTTCTGTCCAATGCAATGCCTATCTCTACCTGGAGGTGTTCTATATAGAGATGGTATACAGAACCCCTGAAAATGTCATTTTTTGCTTGAGTGATTGGCTTATTGATTTTCCCAGATGTCTGCAATTAGATACAAATCAGATTTGTATCTCAGCCGCAGTAAGACATTTGAATGGTGTAAACGTTTCAAAGATGGGCTTACGTCCATCACTGATGATCCCAGCCAGGGTGGTTCTCAGACCACAGCAGTCATTCCTGTGAACATTCAGCACGTGGAATGCCTGATCCTGGATAATTGACACATAACCTGTCGTGAAATTGAACAAGACACAAATCTTACTGTGGGAATGGTGAACACAATCATTACAAAGTGAAGCAGGCTGTCCTAGGATGGTTCAGGTGTACTGACAAATTTTTCTATGCCGAAGCTTTCCAGGCTTCAGTTAAATGCTGGGATAAGTGTATAAATGTATCGGGAGTATGTTGAAAAATAAATGCAGTTTCCGTTCCTTGAAATTTGTTTTTTTTTATTATATAAACTCAAGAGACCCGGCTTAACTTGAACACCCCTAGTAAGTTTTGGTGAGATACTCCCTATGGGAAATCGCATCTAAAAGGGATGCAGACCTTGCCAATTTTCTCATTAGAGCCCTGCTGGTGCAGCAGCTGATTGATAATTATAAAGTCACTCCCATACAGATTCTTAGTACTTGGACACAGACAAACAAGCAGCTGTTTCTTCAGCATTGCAGAGTTTGTTTGTTAAAATCCTTGCAATTTACATAGATCGCCCAGAGGGGGAATGTTTTTTTCGCGCCTCAACGTGCATTCCAGACGCCATCTTAGTGAGGTTACACATGCCAGCCTGCTTCTACCTCCTGTCACCACGTTACTCCTGGGTGCAGACGCAGCTGTCCGAAGCCGGAACACAGCCGTTCCTCAACTTCTTGGAAATTGTACTCAATACAAGCCTGTTTTACTACTGTTACATGTGAGTATTCCTATATTTGGTATTTATTAAAGTGGTTCTGCTGCACTTAAAGGCAAGAATGAGTGGTGCATGCTGGGATAGCCAGCAGTTCAGATTCACGGAAATAAATACCTCCGGGCTTCAGATGCCCACAGCCATCATGGCACCTGCCTGCTTCCGAGATCATGGTAAATTTTTAATAATTACTAAGTAATTACAATGCTTTTACTATTGAATTATTCCAATTGTTAATGCTATTTGAAAGGTCATCGTGGATCTTTTACCAAACATTTATTAGGGGGACTGGAGCTCCGCTTTAAACCCAAAAGTAATCATTTCTCATATTGCAACTTTCCAATTCTTAGATGTGATGGCTGCGTTAGTTTCTTTTTTAGGATTTTTTTCTTTTATTTTCACCTGGTGATCTGGCCAGTTAGGGGGAGATTTACTAAAACTGGTGCACTCAGACTCTGTTGCTTCTGTGCATGGTAGCCAATCAGCTTCTAACTTCATCTTGTTCAGTTAAGCTTTGAACCTGGAAGCTTATTGGTTTCTTTGCAGAGCTGCACCAGATTTTGCACTCTCCAGTTTTAGTAAATAATCCCCATTGTCTGTAGTCTTTCAACAGAACAACCTGTCCTGCAAATGTTGCAGTTAGAGGGTTAAGGTAAACCATTTATCAATGTCACAATCGCGGCGTCAGACCCCTGACCTTCTCACCAAACTCGTGACCGAAGGACTAGCCGATCTAAAACCGCGATGTCACGTGCGTAACAATGCCACACCCAGCTGCACCCTGCACAACGATTTTCCATCAAATTGGATCACAATCGATGTACCGGCAGCCTGAGCGATTGTTACTCGGTCAGGTTAATTACGCAATTAACCCTTCACACTGCCACCACCTCCTTTTTGTACAGAGAAAGAGGTAACTCGGCAATATCAGCTAAAACACTATAATGGTTGAGATAATCATCTGCATAATACGGACACTGCAGGTCGATTATGCAGAGAGTTAAACAAACACAGTAGCATTCTCCTTAGAGGCAGGAATTCGTAAATTGCAATAAAGCGCTATAGAAACAGTTCAACACTTTCAGAAGGAAAGATTTATTACTAAAAGGTCAAACGGGTGCAATAAAAAGATGTAACTAAGATATATATATATATATATATATATATATATATATATATATATATATATATATATATATATACAGAGACTAACAGTACAGCAAAGAGATATCAGAGAGAGGTGAAAGGGTTAAGGTACTTGCCAAAGTCCTGGGTTAGCAGATCCAAGTTTCAGAGCGAAAGGGCACGGGTCTCCCCAGGTGGTACTGATGTTAAAATGGGAGACATCTTCAACTCTTTTCTCTTAGGCCTGACAGCCTATTTTGTAGTTCCCCAGCAGGAGGTGTCTCTGAAGTCAAGGACCAATACCCCGTTTAGGGCGTGTAGGTATGGGCGGATACCTCAACTAGAGCCAAAATCTCCCTTAGCTCATATTTCGGCCCATAACTTTCCATCTGCACAAGTGACATTCCACCCGCGGGTAGATTATTATGCAGACACGTCTGAGGATTGATTAGATATGAATTATGAAATTATACACTGAACGGTTCACGAGATCTATTTTTCGGCTTTCCTATGTATTCGAGATAAGGCAAGTGACCCATCAAATTGTTTGTCTTCTCTTAGCCAATCTGACGATATGTCTGGTTTTTATGTAAGTCTCTCATATTCCAAGATATGAGACATTAGGGGAAAAATGGATTTTAACAAAGGTTATCTGGTCGTGTTTCCTTGGAAGGTTCTTTGAACTCCTAGGAAAGCTTGCCTTATCTTATACGAGGTGTTACATTTTACAGGTTTGGACAGGGAGGCCCTGGCTCAGAGAGAGGTTTTATAGCTCTGGGCTCCCTGCTGGCTCTAGCCTGCCAGTGACCCATAACCAGATGTCACTGTGGCTGAACAGAGAGGAAGGGGGAGAATGAGGGGGGAACATGGAGAACTCTTAACAAAATGGAGGCTCGCGTCAGTCTCTGGGTATACGCTGTTACAATCACTATCAGGGATGCTTACAATGATCAGCTTTTATTCATTTCTGTAAAACCTTTATTCAAAATGGGGAAAAAACTGTTGGTGAAAGTACTTATACAGTAATATGTTAGCTGGAGTTCAGCTTCAATTTGTTAATGTATCTAAACCTGCTAGCACTTCTACCCTTCACCAACTTTCAATGCTGCTGTCCAAAGGTGTCTCTGTTGCTCCTTCATCCAGATTGTAGACACTCTAAGACAGGAAGTGTCTTACTGAGTGGATCACAAGGTGAAAAAAAGGGAAAATGCCTAACTACTGGTTCACACCTGAACCAGGTGGTGGAAACCTGTGTTTTTGTTTTTTTTTATTATTTCTGTCCCCATTTCCCGTACCGCATTCGATGCACACAGGGTGTATGATCTGCTGCAACTGTCAGTAGATTTCTAATGACACCCCAAACGTAGATCGCAAACGCAGTGTGTTTGCCTGCACTGGATCACGTGATACCTCACTACTCACTATCCATTAAATGCATGTGCCTCTACTATGGGGACTCATAAATTTTAGAGTTAGGACCACAGATGATCAGGGTGCCGTGTCGTGGCTCTGTGGCTTACGTATG